TCTCGAGCAAAAAAGGAATAAACACCAGAGGACCCTTTACATTGGAGGTGGAGGATGGATCAGTTGTAGAATTCGAGAAGGTAGATGAGTATATGTACTTAGGTACTCTTATTGATCAGACATGTAGGGAAGAAACTGAAATCAACCTGAGACTGACCAAGAGCAACAGGTGTGCTGGAGCCATGAGCAAAATAATTAAGGCCAAAGATATATCTCATAATACAAAAATAAGAGTATACAAAACTATAATTAGACCCACAATGCTATACGCTGCCGACACATGGACTATGAACAAAACCATACAGAACACATTGGAAGCATGGGAAAATACTTCGCAGAATATTTGGTATGGAGAAGACGAACTAATGCAGAAGTGTATCATTTGTATGCTAACCCTACAATAACAAAAGTGGTGAAAAAACGTAGACTAGAATGGCTCGGTCATCTAGAAAGAATGCAAGGTAATAGACTAGTCAAGAATATGGCTTGGAGAGTACCTGAGGGCAAAAAAAGAGAGGAAAACCAAGAAAGAAATGGAGAGATGTAGTGATGGAAGATGTCAGAGACATGAGAATCAGAGATTGGAAGCTGTTAGCTAAGAATAGAAATCGATGGAAATTATCCATCCAGCAATGGACCTAAAAGGCCTGTTAACGCTGTATATACATACATGCGGAAAAGGTAGATATTCAATGATTTTTATGTATAAAATTTGAATTTAGTTTATACCTATATACATAAATATCATCCCTTTAATCATAAATATAGGAATTAATGCGAATTCAAGAAATAATAAAAACGCAAAAAAATATTTTCAATGAATAATAAAAAAAAAGTGAAGAACGTTAAAAGTAATCAATATAATAGTTACTTCCGGTATAAACGAAAGTGCTAGAAGGTATTTCAAATTTAAAGAGTACGTCAAAAAACATAAATGCTGTTTTTTTTCAAACATTTGTTATATTTGGATGCACGGTGTTTAATAAAAATTCATAAATCAACTTGTACTATTCACAATATTTTCGTTTGTATTTAATTTTGTGAAAACTTTGAAAACTGTTTATGAAAGTAGATAGTCCAATCTTTACTATGAAATAACTCGTATGCAGTATCGATGAGTAGAGACCAACTAAAAATATTTGTTTATATTGAAAATTATACAAAAAATGGATTAATTTTGATTGAAGTTCTAGGAAGGTAATGTTTTAAAAATTGGTTCAATATTCAGCATTTACTGGCATATTCATAACTGTTTCTTTACAAAAATCACTTAAATTATAAAAATAAAAAAATCGCAAATCATACAAAAATGTGTAATAAAATCTCAAAACTAAAGGTGTTAGGAAGTGACAGCTGTCAAATTTATTTATTTAGGTTATTTGGGAAGAGGATATTGTCAGATGATGTCACATATAACTACCTGCTTGGGGGAGAAGAATCGGTCAGAAATGCTAGTTTGTGAATTTTTCGTTTTGACCAGCTTTTTATGAAAAATACCACTCTGTGCGGCGTTTGGTCGTAGGTCATCATTTTTGTATTACCTACCTAAGTTATAAATGCCGTTCAAATATGTTTGACCAAAATGCCCCCCTACCATAAGTGGTAAGTTTATAGTATAGACCCGTATAGTCACCTGTACCGATAAAAATTGACAGCATAGTTTTTAACTGAGTCAAATGACTCCTTAAAAATCTCCCACGAGCTTATAGTCTATAGTCGATGGATTCTAGCGATACTTGGTAAACATTTATTTTATATATAAGTGAAACACTGAAAATTGTTTTTTAAATCGTTACAAAAAATGTACTTTTTGATAGTATTTAGTCTTTATAAAGGGTAGTACACTATACACTGATTATTAACACTTTTATGCTTCAAGTTTTTTTTTTCGTATTAACGCTATACCAATCAAACATCCAGATTCTCAAAGACAAATATTTCTCCTAATAAGTTAATACATAACAAACTAAGTACCAATTTCTTATACATTCAAAAACCTTTCTACCATATAATGGTCTAAGGTTTAATTTAGTTCTTAATAAATTTCTTCCATTTTTTTGTGGTTTCGTGTTAACATCTTGGCGTCTGTTCATGTCACTCCTCTTCTCTCCAATATATTTCCGATTACTTCATCCCATGTCTGTCTTGGTATCCCCAAACTCTTCTCACTGGTATGGTATCTTTTATTTGGTGTAAACAACCCCACCAACTCAGTTGTCTTTGCTTATAGAACAGGTCTATAAACTGCTTTGAAAACTTAAATTTTTGTATTACGAGATATTTCTTTACTGCATATACATGTTTTGTTTATTGTATGATTTTCTCTACTCTGCTATTGATTGATTCTGTTTCTAGAGATCCTCTTGCTTCTATTATAACTCCTATGTAAAAGTTTTAACTTGTTCTATTTTCATTCCTGCAACTTATATATAAGTTCTTCTCTTGTTTCTCCTATCTGCATAACTTTTGTTTTGTTAATATGTATTTATCTTCACTCCGTTTTCAGTGAGTACTTTTATCATATTTCCAAATTGTTCGGAAGTCATAAATATTATAAATAATGTTGGGCTAACTGCACCCTGTCTTAGGCCTCCATTTATTGTAAACGTATCTGATGTTGCAGTATTACTAATTACGGCACTGTTCTCATTTTTTTCTGTTTTTTTTTTATCATTCTTAGTAACTTGTTGTGATACATATACATCGTAACGTCAATCCTGTGTAGTTATTAAATTCTCTCCTATCGAATTCTTTGTATATAGGTAATTAGTAACACTTTCCAATCTTTTGGTATATCTTCATTTTTCCATATTTTATTCATTATTTTTAGTAATATTTGTTGTCCATTTTTCGTTTAAACGTATGCAAAAGGGTATCGATCTTGATGGGACATATTGAGTAAAGCAATATAGTACTTGAAGTCTATATATTTTTTGTCTTTATGGCTGTATAAAGCCAAACTAAACTGTATTATGCCAAACTAAAAATGCAACCATCACGCTTTTAAAACAATAGATTGGAACGAAAAGGGCATCAATGTAGATGGAAAATTTTTAAATAACCTTAAATTTGCAGATGATATCGTTCTTATTGCAGACAGCTTTGATCAGGCACAGATAATGCTCCAAGAACTCCATACTGCCACAAAAAGAGTTGGTCTTAAAATAAATTTTTCAAAGACACAATTTATGACAAATTTAGTCCACAACAAAAACATCTCAGTAGAAGACAAAGATATTGAGCCAGTTGACTCCTATAAATACTTAGGCCATGAGATCAGAATAGTCGAGACAACCAAACAATCGAGCTGAAAAGAAGAATAAACCTCGCTTGGCTGCATTTGGAAGAATGAAGGATATTTTTAGGTCTAAGATTCCAATGTGTCTGAAAAGAAAAGTATTTAATCAATGTATTTTGCCAGTGATGACCTACGGCGCAGAAACCCTAACGCTCACAAGAACAACAGTGAGTAAACTACAAGTTGCGGAAAGAGCAATGGAGAGAATTATGTTAGGGATTTCTCTACGTGATAGAATACCCAATGCTACTATACGCAAAAGATCAGGAGTAGCAGACGTTATTGAAAGGATAACAACACTAAAGTGGAACTGGGCAGGTCATGTAGCAAGAGACCCCGAATACAAGCATACAAAAATAGATGGACAGATGACATAAAAAGAGTGACTACAAATTGGATTCAGATGGCGCAAAATCGGACTAAGTGGAAGAGCATGCGAGAGGCCTATGTTCAGCAGTGGACGTTAGAGGCTAGTTGATGAACCATCATATTGTCATATTGTTTAAAGTGTCTTCTAGCATCTCCTTCAATTGTTATTTCTGGTCATTTCTCCATATGGTGCTATATATCTAGGGTATATTTTCACTGTTGAAATCCTCCGCAATGTATAGTTCTCCTCTTGCAATAGCTCTTAAAGGAAAAGTATCAGAGTCTTGAAGCTTGGTTTATACATAATTGATGGATTCGATGGTTGGTTGATATATACGTTTCTCTTACTCTAAGGAAGAAGCCAAATGAACTTAGATTCAATAGGTCCTCTGGATCTTCTAATATACTTATGTAATTCCTATTTCTTCAAGGAACAGTTTTAGAGTCTGAAAACTTTGTGCACAGGTTCCTCTTGGCGTAAAGCAACACTCCATGGAATTTGGGGTTAGTAGGTCTTCTTCTCATATTATGACACTTTTTCTTTCGTCTTGAAAGAAAGGTTCTAGACACTTGAAATTTGGTACGTAGGTTCCATTTGGTGTTAATACTCGCGTCGTTTCTGACTGTATTTTAACTTTGGTTTTATATCTTACTTAGATGTTATCTATTAACTTATAAATAACCACTGGTACTTGCTTGTTGTATAGTAAATGTAACGGATCTGGTAGCCTTATTCTTTTTGAAGGTATTTTTGTAAGTCTACGAAACAAAAACAAAAATAAAGAAAGATGTAACAGGCACACAAACCGAAACGGTTAAAAAACCAACCGTTTACAAGTTTCAGAAAGAGATACGGATGATAGAAGTAATATTAGAACTGGTGAAGCAAACAAGAAAATTCAAATATGCCAGGAAATGGAAGAGAGACAATAAAAATAAGACAATATGCATAAGGAAACAAAAAAATTACAGAAAATAAAATTAAGCGAGAATCTGGATTGAGTCTGACAGAAGTAACACTCCCTGAAGCTAAATATGTTGTCGAAATCGAACATACAAATTTTGCTAGTTCCTTATTTCCAACTTTTACTACATCCCTAAAACATGACAGTGAATTTAAAAAGCCAGGCAGTCTGGTATCTCCAAAAGAAGTAGTTAAACGCAAGAAGAAAGATTTCAACCTTGTGCTACCAGCTTTGCAATAGAACAATATGTGAAATATGATTTTCAGCCATATTTCTATAAATTAAGTATATAATTTTTATAGTATCAACAATTTATAAGAGTTGTAATTAAAAAAAAATGTTTTAATATCAGTTCTTGTGAAACTTACAGTCGAGGGGATTCACCAATCCAGAATTTGTCCAGTCGAACTGCGCACTTGGTACATCTTGAGCCTCTTGAGAAGTTTGAGAGCTGGTTTGAGGAGCCGGAGGGGTTGGTTTAGATGGCGATGGTGTAAGAGATTCCATCTTAATAGGTTCTAACGGCTGACCACCCAAATTCGCGGCGAATTTCGGAACTGATGGGTTCCAGTTGTGCCCGTGGAGCTTAAAAAATAAATCAATGTTTATTTATTTATAAAACCACTGCTTAAAAAGGAATAATCGCTCTTGGTCTACCACATAACAATTAATATAACTGTCTCGAACTAATGTATTTATTTTATGTTTAATGCCAATTTAATGGTTCCTAATTATTGTTTAAAAAGAAAGTTTCTTTTAGTATAAAGTTAATTATTTCTGGTGAATTTTGAACTTCAGTTTGGAAAAAATGTAACGAGGTTAATTAAGGACATAGCCAACTAATATTATCAAGCTGAACATAATGATTATTCTGGGTTGATTATCTCATCTTCAGATGGACGATGATCTAAATCGCTTCTCGAATTTTTATAATAATACCGCAGTCAATAAAAAAAAGCTGAATCTTGTACAAGTATTTAAAAGTTCTAAAAGGTACATAAGGGGCAGCTGATTTTGTTTTGTTTTTTTTTTGAATGAATGAATTGCTATCATGAAAAATGAATTTCAAAAATATGAAGAGTTTGTATAAGGTTTTATAAGCCTAAAGTTATTAATTTTTTAAATACATATTTACAATTTTCTTGAGAAAATAGGTAATGTTTAAAGGGGTGGGGATTAGGTTTCCAAGGTAATAAAAATGTAAATGATATGTCAAAAATTTTCTAGTGTAGTGTTGTTTTTAAATAATTTTATATCTTTGAAATCCAGCCATACATTATACAGTATGAACACTATTTTAGGTGTAGCTCAGGAGTCACCACTGCCGCCGGTCTTAAGCCCGGATAAAGTAGGAAGGTTGGGCAGTCGGCTGACAACCCACTCCCGGAAAAAACACACTGTTACGAAACCTGAACATTTACCTCGGAATACAGGACGGAACTTTCGGAAACGACTCAAGCTACGAAACATGGACTATATATTTGGAAACTGGAATGTGAGGACACTAAATAAACCGCGAGCTCAAACCGCACTTCTGCAAGAACTAATAAGATATAAGTTCATGATTACTGTTCTTCAGGAGACAAGATGGTTGAGGAAAGGTGTGAGGGACAGTAAAACGCACATAATTCTATATAGTTGGAAGGAAAAAGGAAGCAAAGAATGTTGAGTTGCATTTGTGGTGGATACTTTAAGTCAAAAATCATAGACTTCCAGACAGTCAGTGAAAGAATATGTAAGCTAAAAATTTGCACCCACTTCTTTAACTTAACAATGATAAACATTCACTGCCCAAAAGAAGAACAAGAACAACATACAAAGGAAAGCTTCTAACAACAGCTGGAGATAGTATATGACAATGCGCCCAAAAATGACATCAAGATGATAATGGGTGATATGAATGCTAAAATAGGCAAGGAGCCGCGGTTCTATGGCACAACAGGAAAACACCCACTGCACAATGAAACGAGCGAGAATGAGGAGCTTTTGATAAATTTTGCCACCAGTAAAAACATGGTTATAAGTTTCACATGATTCCCACATAAGGGACCATACACAAAATGACATGGATGTCACCAGATGGAACCACAACCAATCAAATCGACCATGTACTGATAGACAAAAGGGCAGCCAGTAGTATCTCAGATGTGAGAACACGACGAGAAGCATGCTGTGGATCAGACCATCTTTTACTACAAACCAAATTTAGATGCAGAGTTAACAAAGAAAGAAACGAAAGACAACAAAGAACAAACAAACTGGACCTTGAAAAACTGAAGATTCAGGAATGTAAAGAGAAATTCGAAGAAAAAGTCGCAAATGAGTTAAGGACGCTAGAACTGCACTCCAAAGAGGCCAATTGGAATAATATCAAAACAGCAGTACTGGCAGCGGCGACACCGTCCACCCTGAGAAACAAGAAAAAGGCGAGAAGAGGAGCATGGTTCGATGACGAGTGTAGACAAGCAATAGAGGAAAGAAATGAAGCACACAAAATGGATATAACAAGAGGAATACGGGAAAGACGAAAATCATTTGAAGTCTCAAGACGGAAAGCATACAAGATATGTCGAAATAAAAAAAGCCTATGAAAATGGACAAATACAAAAAATGGAAAAAAATTTCAAAAACAACGAAATTACACGGGCTTACGAATACCTAAAAAGACAAAAAATGAGAAGAGACCAACAGAAAGTCACAGAAACCTGGAAGCATTACTTTCAGACCCTACTTGGTACTGAAGTAGACATGGAAGATGAAATGGGTACGAACTAGGTAGGAGAGAATGAAGTAGAGAATGGAGTAGAAGCTCCAACCAAAGAGAAAGTTCTCGAAGCTATTAAGGCCCAGAAAAACAATAAATTCCTGGAAGTTAACGAAACACCAGCAGAATTGTATAAGTCTTTGTTCATAACGACTCGCCGACCCTCGATCGAACCATAGGATGGTATCATTTTATCATCGCCACGTAAAATAAATGCATTATTTTAAATGCGAGGGTTCACTGTCAGTGCTATGCTCTAGGCGAGGATACATGCGTTGGTCTCCGTAATGAACGCACCCTAAGGTAGGTGGCGACCACCTGGCAAGTCACATCCACGCGTTCGTCAAAGACCTATGGCAAGAAGAGAAAATACCCGAAGACTGGAAGAAAAGTATAGTATTCCCGATCTATAAAAAAGGAGACAAACTCCAGTGCAAAAACTACCATGGAAATTCTCTACTATGTACAGCATATAAAGTCCTCGCGTATATTATAAACCAGCGGCTCAAAACACTAGCAGAAAATATCAGATGGACTTCCGACGGGGAAGATCGACACAGGATCAAATATTTACAGTCAAACAGATCTTGAGCAAATCATATGAGTTTGTAGATTTTGAAACAGGCATACGACTCAGTCAAAAGAAACAAACTCTACAATATATTGGCTAAATTGGTAATACGATACAAGCTAATTAGATTCATTAAAGCCACAATGGATGAAACTCAGGCATGTGTACGAATAAAAAATCACCGGACAGACTTTTTAAAGTTTCGCAAGGACTAAAGCAGGGAGATGGGCTGGGCCCAACTTTATTTAACCTGGCACTGGAGTTAGCGGTTAGACAAATGCAAACTGGACGAGGTAACCTTCTGACCAACCGAACGGTTCAACTGGCCGCTTATGCCGATGATATTGTTACGTAAAAACTTTGAGTCATATTAAAAACCTGTAAACATGTTGTTTATTCACTTTTATGTTCTAGATTTTATCAGCTGGGTGAAATTCCAGGTAATACCTATTTGAAACGATCGGTCAACTACCACTCGAACTTTCTGGAAACAGGCCGCTATAAAAAATCAGTTCGAGACAATTCAGGTCAACCTCCGTCTGCTTCGCGAGAGATCCCATGCTAACGGCATTTCGTATTTAAAGAGGGATTTTGTTGTAAACATGATCAGTCAGAAGAGAATATCGCGTATATCGGGTTTTTAAATGTAACGCTCGTATAAATAAATTATGTAATTATTAGCCGAAAATAAATTGTTGTATAGTGGTTTAATAAATTGATATAAATTATTGTGTTTTAGTGAATTAAAAATAGGGGAAATAAAGTAAATAAATTAGAATTAATAAAGACTTAACAATATTATTATTATGAGTAGAACATCAACAGGAGAACAGGAAACATACGCAGAGTTAAAAACGCAAACCAAAATGCTAGGTCTGGAAATTAACACAGAAAAAAAAACAAAAATTATGATGCAGACGTGAAAAAATATAGTCCCACAAAACATCATACATGAAGATGACATTAAAACGGTTGGAAAGTTTACATATCTGGGAGTAGAAATATATGCCGACGGATCAGACGATGGAAAAATACGGAGGAGAATAACGCAGGCAAACAGACGTTATTTTGCCCTCTTCCTTATATTTCGGTCTAAGAATGTCCAGAAATACAAAGATATGAAGCACATTAATCTATAAAACCTTAATTCGACCAATAGCATGCTATGGCAGTGAACCATGAGTCCTAAAAGAAACATCCAAAAGGACCTGTGAGGAAAAACGGAATCTTCATACAACAACGAGCCTTATCAACTTTATAAGGAAGCATCACTGTCAGATTTCATTAGAATACAAAGATTGCAATGGGCTGGACATGTGATAAGAATGAGAGAGGATAGGTTACCAAATAGAGCACTGAATGCTAGAATGCAGAGAAAGAGACCAGTTGGAAAGCCAAAAAAGCGTTGGGAAGACACAGTAAACAGCGACGCACAAGCCCTTTTAGGAGTCCGTGTACGGAGAAGATCAGCCACAGGAGGCCAAGGATAAATTTGGGCTGTAGTGTCGTAAAAGAAAACGAAGTTCAATCAAAAATAATTTTAGATCGTAGACGTTGATATACATGAGTTTTTTTTGAAACATTTTTTTTTATACTCCATAGTTAAGTCGCAATCTAAGAAAGCCGGAGGTTTGATACACCCTGTATAATAAGGATACATCACTGACCTTTTTGACGATGCTTCGAGAGAAAATGCTCCAAATACTGCCTGTGACAACCAGTTGGACAGAGGTCCCAATATACTGAATTCGGAAGTCGAAAAGGCAATACAGCAAGCCAAAAACAATAAAGCACCTGGACCAGATCAAATCCCTGCCGAACTACTTAACCACTTTCTTCAACAAAATTTACAACGAAGGAAAAATACCAGATGATTGGTTAGAGTCACTGTTTATAACATTACCAAAGAAAAGCAGGCCCACCAAATGCAGCGATTTTAGACTAATCAGTTTGATGAGTCACACACTGAAGATACTCTTACGAATTATACAAAACCGAGTATTCCTTCTATGCGAAAGTAAGATGGGTGATAAGCAATTTGAATCTAGAAACGGTCTAGGAACTAGAGAGGCACTATTCTGTATGCGCGTTCTATTACAAAAAAGTTGTGAATTCCGAAAGAATGTTTATGTTTGTTTCATCGACTTCGAGAAGGCGTTCGACAGAGTCCAACACAATACACTTTTCGACTGCCTACGGGCAGCAGGACTTGACCACTATGATATAAGACTGCTGAAATACTTATATTACAATCAAGTGGCCTCTATCCAAATTGGAGACAGTCCCACTGAAAAAATACCCATCAAACGTGGAGTACGGCAGGGTTGTGTTCTGTCACCCACTCTTTTTAATCTGTACTCTAAAGAAATCTTTAGGGAGGCTTTGGATGACAGACAAGAGGGAGTAAGACTAGGTGGAGAAGTAATCAACAATATTAGATACGCTGACGATACAGCCATTCTTGCAGAAAGTTTACAAGATCTCCAAACATTACTAAATCTAGTCAGTGAAGCAAGTTATCGGAGAGGCCTAAAAATCGACATTTCAAAGACAAAGTGGATGGCAGTTGGAAAGATCCATATAGATCAAGGTCTGCTTTCTCTTAATGGAGAAGAGATAGAAGGGGTAAATCATTTCAAATACCTTGGCAGCTAGTTAAATGTAAATTGTGACTCTGATGAAGAGATAATATCCAGAATCGAAATATCACGTAAGGCTTTTATGACCTGGAAACCAGTTTTATGCAACAGAAACCTGTCAATGAATATTCGTAAGAAGGTCCTGAAATGTTATGTGTGGTCGATCCTATTGTATGGTTGTGAGACATGGACGTTAAAAACCACAATGCTAAACAAGTTAGAAGCATTCGAATTGTGGTGCTATAGACGTATCCTAAAGATATCGTGGGTTTCGCACACCTCCAATGAAGATGTTCTTCAAATGATCAATTCAGAACATCTGCTCATAAACACCATAAAGAGGAGAAAAACAGAATACTTCGGCCATATAATTAGAGGACCTAAATACCATTTACTTCGCCTTATAATACAAGGAAAAGTGGAAGGAAAGAGATGGAGAAAGGTTTCAGGAAATTATAAACATGATGACGTCCAACGTCTGATTACGGACACGGCACCCAAAGAAGAAGAAGAAGTATAATAAGGATAGTACTAGACGAATAGGATGGAGTAATCACTATAGGAGGCAGAAAAACGTAATCTGGGATACGCAGATGCAGATACTAGCTGTAAATGAAGTCAAAATGATTAAAATCACCGAACGGCTAAGCGGAATAAGCAAAGAATTCAGAATTCAGATCAACACTACAAAGATTTGTACGTGTGGGCTCCCTGATAACCAACAATGGCGATAGCTCCTTAGAAATCAAGCGTAGCCTAGCAATAGCCCAAACCACAATAGCTAAATTATTTAAAATATAGAAAGACCGAACACTAACAAGGAATACTAAGCTGAGGTTGGTCAATGACCTATATTTCCCAGTACTACATAGGCAGCAAAAACAAGATAAAAGTAAAATTGAAGCCTTTGAAATGCGAGTTTATAAATAATTCTACCTATATCTTGGACGGAACGCAGAACAACCTGTCAATTCTGGAAGAGCTTCATATAAAAGGCAGACTACTAAAAAAAGAAAACGGAGCAAACCTAAATTACTTCGGCCACATAGCTAGAATAACGGGGACTATAGAACTATTGGTAGTAGTAGGAAAGGTAGAAAGCCGAAGTCCAAGAGGAAAATCTCTAACATTATGGGTAGATCAAATGAGGACTTTCGTTGGAAAAGCCCTACATGAAGCTGTCCATCTGGTACTGGATCGCATCTAAGCATCACCACGCTCTGACAAGGCTTTCAAGGAATGAGCAGAATTGCTATATCTAATTTAAAAATAAATAGACAAAATCATACACTTACTATATTTCTAGCATCAATGTTTAAGCTTTTGAGCAAATACTTCTGACTTGTAGATTTTGACCAATGGTATGTCAAAGCAGGAGAATCTGTTATATCCTGTATTTGCTTGAAAACAAAATCATCTTTTCCTAGTTCAAAATAGATAAAATCTTCCTGCGTTTCTTCAGGAAGAACAAATATTTCCTTTACCACCTCCTCCGTTTTTTTGAAAACTTCTTTTACATCAAGAACAGGGAATGTCTCCTCTAGTGACTGATTATCTGGTTTCGGATCAGAAGTAGACGACGTGAAATTACCGAAATCTCCAAAAGCATCATCAGAAATATTAGGATCTAAGCCTTGGGGATCAGTTGTTGTAGAAAATGAGGCAAAATCATCAAAATCATCGTCATCTACTACATCTTTAGAGCCACCTTCTTTACTTGTGGATGGATATGCCTGTGACGTAAAATTGCCAAAATCACCAAAGTCATTATCTTCCTGTGATGCACTTGCGGTGAAAACACCAAATTCTGAAGTTTCTTTTTCATTTGTAACTTGCTGCTGCTGTTCTTTTGAACCCTCAGTAGCCGATGTAAAATTTGCAAAATCGTCGAATTCGCATGCTTTAATGGCATCATCTATTCCAAATACAGGAAAATCTTGAAATATTTCCGAATTAATAATATCTTTCTGTGTGCTAGTTTCAGATTTAAAATCTGTGTGTTCAGTATTAATTTCATCATGTTTTTTAGACTCTACAGATAAATCATCATCGGGTAAAAAATTTCGAGATTGAACGAGAGATTTATCTTCAGTTTCTAAATATTTAGTTTCATTTGTTATAATCTTTGTATCTTTTATGTGTTCCATTTCATTATTTACAAATTTCGGCGAACTGTCAAAAATAGTTTGTGAAGCAAATGTTCCAAAATCGTCGTCTTCACTGTCAATTTTAAAATCATTATTATCGTCCTCATGGTTAAAATTAGTTTCTGAACTGTTTTGAATATTTTTATCTTTGACTAGATTAGTTTTTTCAGCATTGCGTATATTTTTGGAATGTGTTGAATTACTAATAGTTTCTATATCTATTTTAACGTTTTTGTTAATCGTTGATGAAAATTTGCAAAATCGTCTGTATTATTAACGTCTTTTGAAAGATCTGAAAACCCCTCGTCCTTATTCACTGATTTGAAGTTGGCATTGTCACTGGATATCGATAATTCTGAGTCTAAGTTACTTTCATAATTGTCGCTACTAATAAAATCAGCAGACCAATTAGTACCTGAGCTGTAGTCTGAGAAACTAGTGATTTTTTTTATACTATCAGCGTCTTCCAAAGAACAACCATTTGATGTATTCAGTTCATTAGTATCCTCATTTGATATATCAGGATTACTTTTTATGGGTTTATCACTATTATCACAAATTTTACTTTCATGACTTGAGTTATTTTCAATAATCAATTGACCTGGAATGTTTTCTGTAATATTATCTCCTAATTCTCGATTAACATAATTATTTTTACTAAAAAAGTCATCAGATTCTTTACTTTTCGAACCAGAACTTTCATTCGTTGATTCAGTAATGTCTTCCTTTAACGAATCTGTTGATATAACTAAATTTTCATCTCTATCTTTACTTCTTTCAAGATCATTAGCTTGTAAGGTTTCCTTTGAGTTGTCTATATCGTTTTTTTCTGATTCTAAATATAAAACAGGTTCATCTTTGCTATTTAAAACTTCTTTAGGCAGTTTCTTAGGGGACTGATCCGGAGAAGATAGAGAAAAACCTGGAAAAAATGTTTTATTATTACCTTCATGTTCATAGCATCTAATAGATTAATAATCTACTACTACTAATATTTCAAATAAAAATAAATTTGTTCAAGTAACTTAAATGACACTTCTACTTTCTTAAGCAGATGAAGAAAAACAACCTATCCTATAGAATATGAAGATCAAAACAATAAACAAAGTAATGCACAGCGTTGGTCACTGGATCATACAATATTCCTCAATCAATTCCGATGTGTATATATAATATATAAATACGTGATGAGTTAATGCAGGAGTTGACGTTTCTTTTATCTTATTTTATTATAGTGCTCGTCTCAATATATAGTTATAGGCGTTATATTTGTACCTAATTGTTAATTATTGTGGGAATAATAAGTTTGAAATTCGAAAACTTGAATGACTTAGGTAAGCGTCATTATTGGTTGTTCGTTCGTTTTCTAAATATTGGTACTTTTAGTTAGATAAGTATTGGTATGTCAATGATGTTAAAAGTTGGCGATACATTTTCCTCATTTGTCAATGCAAAAACAGCCATCTCAGAACCATGAAAAATACAATTAATACATTTACAGAATTTCTTGCAGTGGATGCTACATATAAATTACTAAAAATAGAATTACCTGTTTTCCTTATTATTGTAGAATACGGTAATTGTCAAACCGAAATAGTGGGGGTTTGCATACTGGCATCGGAAGATAAGGAAAGTTTCATCTTGTTTTTAGAAACGTTTAAATGCGAAAATCCATCATGGATTAATGTGAAATGTGTAATCACAGACAAGGATTTACATGAAAGGAGAGTATGTAACTAGAAATTACTTTCCTAATATAAACCTTATTTGTGTCTTTCACACATTAAGAATCTTTTATCGAGAAATTTCATGCAATAAAATCGGGATCACCCCAACTGAGCATACACTTAGTTTACAACTAATTCAAAAATTAGTCTATGCTAAAACAGGCGAAATGGGAGCGTGAATGGTGAAGTTGGAAGTCGGATCGAATATTTCCTCAGTCAGTTGACCTTCTGCACCTGTTACATATAAGATTTCTATGAATTACTTTACGCAAAGATCCTTAGTTCGCAAATATTTAATAGAAAATAAACTTTCAATTGCACGAAAATTATACCCCTACTAAAATACACGAATCATGATCATCACCTACTTTTTGTTCTGCAACTGATAGTTCATGGCATCATAAGGTCCCTTAAAGTTCACTAGAGAAAACTTTTAGTTAAGCAGATCCTGAGTAATGTGGAAATCCGTATTGAGTCCCCTGTTATTTTATTAGATGCTATAAATTTCATGACGCCAACAAGTTTGGCTTCATGTAACCAAGGGTTACATAAAGCCGAACAACTAGCCCAGGACAGAGAAGGATGGAGGGAAATCGTAAAAAAACTGTGAAGGCCTGATGGAGGATAAATTTCATCCAAAAAAGCATGGACACTCATAGATAAAAACCCATCAGAAAATTTTCGGTCATGTGGGTGGACAGAGACTGAGATAGAAAATGAAGAAGATGAATATCCTGTAGCAGAGTGGTTAAGGTTACAACAGCAAAATCAAGAACTAACCCAACTAAACAATGATGACGAGTTTGCTGAATTTATTGCCATTGATGATGACGTGATTGTTTGTGATCTCCCGACGGATAGTGAAACTATCGCAAAAGTAATAAATCCGCCGGCTGAGCACGTTATGATCAGTGACGAAAGTGATGAAGATGGAGAAGTCAATCGTGGTGAATCTACACAAGAATGTCCTAAATAAACAATATGTGGAATATGCTTTAAACATTGTAAGACAATTTATCAAAAGACAAAACACAAATGAAGATGCATACAACTGTTTCACATCTTTAGAAAATGTGATAGATAGAATGATACTGGACAATTTAAAGCAGTCAAAAATGGCAGACTTCTTCCAATTGCAGAAACAAGTTATATTATCCTTGAAAATATGCTTTATACATTATATAGTTAAAAAAATGTAAGTACAGATTTTTGTTTTAATGTATACCACTGACAATAAAAGTAAACAACTTTTTTTCAAAAATGCCATTCACACAATATTTAGCATCTTATATTGCTCCGAACGGCTTCACTACAGGAAATTAAGTTTTAGAAAACTACAGATTCAAATGTATGCACGGTATTATTGTTGTCTCACCTAACGAGATTGACTTATAACGAGGTAATTAGTCTGCCATTTCAGTTCTCGTTATAGAGAGAGTCCACTGTACATAATATCATTGGCTTGTTTTCTGAATTATAATTTTTGTACTTGTGTTATTGCAAAAATTCACTATTAAATCGTAAATTAAATTAATTCAAACTCCACAACTCTATGCAGAGATTTAGTTATAGTTAACCATAGAATCCAAGACTCTCTGACTATAATCATAATGTAACAATATTATTTAACCCACTCAATATGTCAAGTATTTGGCTATTGAAAAAGATAACAAATTAAAGTTCAACTACTACACATCATGTATAAAGAAAAGTTATAACTAATGGAATTACAATTGAAACTGCTGCCAAATATATAAAATGATTTGTAGATCCATGGTGGAATATGGTTTTACAATTTTCTTTGTAAAGGTCCTGTCAAAATAATATAGAAGTGGATGAAATTGCTTTTGACAAATTACTAGAATGCATCATCCTGATAAATCACTTTATAATCCATCTAATAGAACTCTTTAAGATATCCAAAAAACTCACTGTAGATATCCAGAGAGAAGAGAACTGTATTTACAAAAATTCTTTACTATTACTTATTTCTATGGGTTAAGGGACACTCACATATTTCTGGCAATACTGTTGCTGATTCTATAGCTAAAAATTCATTACAGCACCCACATATGGTGATAGAAGAATTCAACACATGTGATCTACTTGCCTATATCAAACAACATATTAAATTTAAATGGGACAGACAATTGATTCAGTTTGGTGAAAGAAGGGGCACTAATTTATACAAATTACAACCAACAGTAGATGTAAAACAATTTTACAAAGATGTTACACTAAGCAGAACAGAACAGTGTCAACTGTCTTAAGATTAAAAGTAGATCATGGTAGTTTTCCTAAACATCTATACAAAATAGGAGTTCTCCCAACAGACCGATGTGAGTGTGGAACTAGTATAGCTGATTTAAATTGCATATTTTTACTGCCCACTACATCGTAATAAAAGCATGTGGCTGCTAAAATAATTGATAAAAGAGGGTTTAAGTACATCATTAAACATAAATCTTCTATTAAGTGAAGACAATATAAAAATTTTTAAAATCATTATGATATTTCTTGTAAAAATTAAAGTAAAGGTATGATTGTAAAATTGATCTTATGCTTGAACATTTCCTTTGTATGTTTACCATATATGTTGCCCACCTACCTAACTGTGGTTTATGTCTTGTTTGTTACAATAAAGCCGCTCTGATGCATCTCTAAGCATGAAAAGTGTCCTCCTTGTAAGTATTCATATGTAATTATGTGGATAAAGGTTTCAATCCAAATAAAACAAAATTTTTTACATATCAAAACAATAAACAACTTTCTTTTAGTGGCTTTCCTTTTATGGGTGTAACTTGGTAGTGTTACAATATTGTTTTATTGTATCTATACTAATTCTGCAAGATTGGTGAAAAAGTTTTTTCAATGAGATTTTCGTACATAGTATCAATAAAGTATGTCTGTCCATTTTAGAAAATCATGTTATTTATGTACTTAATATCAAAAAGCTTTCTGCCAATATAGTAATGTATCTTTTATAATTTATGTTTAACTTGTTTTTATAGGTATATTATTTATCACATTAATATGATAATTTTCCAGGTTGGTATTTCCAAGTACTGGAATTATTATTTATACATTTCCCATTTTGTCATTTTCTCTTGTTTGTATAAATTAGAGTAAAAATTTAAGTGTGCCATTCAGTGTTTTCTCAATTTCTTCCTACATATTATATTTCCTCTTCTTGTCATCTTCCTATCTCCTTCCTTCTGTATTTAGCTGCTTATCTTCTTCCTCTTATATGCTTTTGTTATGATACATGACATTATATTTTTCTAGAGCTCTGTGTACCTATATCGACCCAGTATATTTTTGATTTTATTAGTCTACAAAATTGTACAGCTTTATATTTTTTACCTGAGATATATAAAATAAAAACCAAATTATATACAAAACTGGTGTATAATTTCCTTTAACATAATCAGTTATCATGCACCTTAAACTTATAAACCACAATCATTCAACCACAACAACAATGAGATATTCATAAATTCTAGGATTGTTTAATAAAATAGGTGAAAATAATACTCTACTATTTAGATCCTTGAACTACAACAAAAACTTTTAAGATTAAAAGACAAGAATTCTGTCACTATTATAAATGTAAATAATTATTCCCTTTAGATCACCATTGTTATAAAATCATTAATAATTAAATATTACTAAATTTGTTTCCTTACTGTCACAGCCATATGATATATCATTAGACCCTCTAAAATCATCAAATTCGTCGTCATCTTCATCATCTGAAGGGGGTGGTGGAGGAGTTTCACTAACAAGTGGAGGAATAATGTTTGCCATCTAAAATATTTATGGAGAATGGAGTAAATCTAATTTTTTACAATGGGAAAAATAATAATGGTACCTTAATAATGTATCACTTCCTTTTTAATATTGTATATTATGAACACTTTGAGAACACAAAAGATCAATTAACGTGGAATAAAAAATAATAATTATTAATGTTTTCTATTAAAATAGTGTTTAATTTCTTCTGTCAAAGATAAAAACAGAGGTTACCATATTGATTATTGACATGTCAGTTTTAAAGCTGTTTTTTCAATAAAGGGATGAACATTATTCTCAATAATCTAAAATTTTATTGGTTAAAAACAGATAGTTGTAAATATGTTGGAACACACCCCAGTGAGAAAATCTCAATGTCATTCTTTTCCTGTTTTGATTACACCAACATATTTATATGTTGTACAACTATTAACATTATATAAAAATTATTTACTAAAAATAAATCATATAAACATACTTATTATTGGCTACACTTTAATTATAAGAAAGAAAATTTAAAATTATATCTATAAGTGAAAATATTTTTGATAGTATTGGACACAAATCAAATATCGCGCGATTTTATTTAATTTATACTTGACGTAAGCTATGGTGAAATCACCAGTTGTAATGATGGCCTGTCATTCCGTTTTGACGTCTATCAATGTCATATAATGTCAAAAGTCTATAAAATATATTCGTAAATAGTACAAAACATCTGCAACTATATCTTAGAATTTATTATAATGGGAAAAGTATTTTGTCCATAACGATGGACTTCAACATTGACAAGTTAAAAAAAGATTTTGGCGTGACTGAAGATTTATCCGAGATACAGTTTATGCAAATAGTTAAAGAAAACTACAAAAATGATGTTCAAGAAAATGCATTTGGGGAAAAACTATGTACTCTTTACACAATTCATTTCAGCATTTATAATTTGGAATATAGTATGAAAATATTAGTCTTTATATACGTAAGTAGCCGTATATTTTTACAGCTGTTTCCCTTTTATTAGATTTTAATTGGTGGTGGATATTTAGCACTTCACTTATACCTGGATAACTCATATTTTTAGGAAATATCGTGTGAAGTTTTAAAACTAGATTTACGGTTGCAAGAAACTGAAGCAGAGTTAGAAATTGCCCAATGCAAAAATTTTCTACAACGACAAAGAAATCTTAATGCCACATTCTTAACTCTGAAGAAATTTTCAAGGTTTTATGAATCTAGAAGATTGATTAAAAATATTGTTCTTAAAAAAGAACCTAGAATTACTTTCCATAAAAATGAAGAGGGGGCGCTCTGCATCAAATATAACTGTGTTTCCCCAGATATTTATATTGAAATTTGTTGGAAAATTGAATGGACTTTAAAAGATTGTGACATTTCGGATGTGATTGAAGTTTACTATAATAATTTTAGTAAGTATAACACCTTTTTATGCATCTTTATTAGGGATCCTTTTATCTCATGTTCAACTAACATTTTATTGGTTACATAGTTATTTATATTTTCATTTTCTTCCACACAAGTATGTGCATAATAAAAAGTATTAGAACAGCCATTGTTGAGAACCATACTTCAATGACAACCTAAAAGCTTTTTAATGAGGTTTACAGCTTTTGTTGATACTATTATAGTCTCTTTAAGTGTATTAATTCTTTTGTTAGCTGGTATAGTCTAATTTCTGACCTCTTTGGTACCTTACAACATAAAGCAAGGGCTTACTAGATTATTGATTGGAGATAAACTTTATATCAATAATGTTTGTGATTGAAATTTCTACAATGTTTGATTTACTGATTATCCCCCCACCCAGTAACAGTGTAGGAAGGCGGTAGGACAATAGTTTCATTATACCTGAAATTTATATTAGTGGATTCTGCTTCAGTTGGTGATTAACAATATTAATGTTAATGAACTTTATCAACCATTCAAAAGAATACTTAGAATTAGCTTGGTGCTAGACACTTCGTTGGACTAGTCATGTAGTTCAAATGGATAGCAGTATATCCAAGAGCTCTAGGAAATAAAATAAAGGAAAGAAGACTAAAAGGAAGGTCATAGAAAAGACTGGAGGAGAATTAATTAATTATTAATTAATTACAAACCTGATGAGCATCAAAATTTTGAGGGCAGCAGTGTATGTTAGCCCTCCAGGGTCCATATCTTTGGAATCATTATTTAGGTGTGTAAACTAATATTTTATGTTCATGACATTTAATTGTTTTAATAAGTTGCTGGTAATAGCATTTATCTTACTTTTTCAGGTGTGGTTCAGTTTGATTTTTAGTATTAGCCCAGTCTGGTTATGCAAAAATCATTGATTTCATAGCAAAAATTGTTCACAGATATCTGAGGCTTTTAAGGCATAGGTGGGGCTTCTTCTTCTTCTTCAAGTTCCACTCCTATCGGAGATTGGAAATCATTCTGGCAATTATAATTTTATTGGTTACTCGCCTGAATAGTTCAATTGAACTGCATCCAAACCACTCACGGAGATTGCGTAGCCACGAGATTTTACGTCTTCCTACGCTTCTTCTACCTTTGATTTTACCCTGCATTATATTCCTTAGTAGTTCGTACTTTTCACCTCTCATGATGTGCCCCAAGTATTCCAATTTCCTGATCTTTATGGAATTTAAAACTTCGCATTGTTTTCCTAGTTGTTCGAGAACTTGTTCGTTTGTTTTGCGATCCATCCATGATATTTTCAAAATGCGTCGGTAACACCACATTTCGAATGCTTCTAGGTTTTTAATGTTGGATTTTTTAAGTGTCCAAGCTTCAACTCCATACAAAAGGGTAGAGAAAATATAACATCGAAGCATTCTTATCCGGAGCGATATATTGATATCGCGATTACAAAAAAGTTTTCTCATTCTATTAAAAGTTGACCGCGCAATTTCAATGCGGCATCTTATTTCTTTTGTCTGATCAGTATCTTCTGTGATCCATGCTCCAAGGTATTTGTACGAAGATATTTGTTCAATTTCTGTATTGTCTAGTACTAGCTTAACTTTGATGTTTTGTGCTTTTGTAAATACCATGAATTTTGTTTTCTTCAAATTGATTTTTAGTCCATAATCGTTGCAATATATATTTAGTTGTTCAGCAAGATGTTGCAGTTCTTCTAGTGTTCCTGCCAAAAGGACGGTGTCGTCAGCATATCTTATGTTATTAAGTGGCTCACCGTTTATTATAAGGCCCTCACTGATCTCGGCAAGCGCTAATTCTGAGATGGCTTCACTGTATAAATTGAATAACAAGGGTGATAAAATACACCCTTGGCGGACCCCACGGCGAATCTGGATATCCTTGGTCAGTTCGTTTTCAACTTTCACTTTTGCTGTTTGATTCCAATAGAGGTTACAGATGATTCTAATGTCTCTACTGTCTATGTTTTTATTTAATAAAATTTCTTTAAGTCGATTATGTTGCACTCTGTCAAATGCCTTCTCAAAATCAATGAAACAGGCATATACTTCCTGATTAATATCTAAGCATCTCTGCGAAAGAACACTTATTGCAAACAGTGCATCTCGTGTTCCCAGTCCTTTCCTAAATCCCATTTGTGTATTACTTATGCCTTCATCTAATTTCTTATGTATTCTATTGTGAATTACTTTTAAAAACAATTTCAAGACATGACTCATTAAGGCTATGGTGCGATGTTCATTGCACTCCTTTGCATTGGCTTTTTTGGGAAGCAGTATGAATGTTGATTGGAGCCATTCTTTAGGTATTATACCTGTTCTATATATGGTATTGAATAGATCCAAAAGAAGATTAATAGATTCAGTATTCACAATTTTAAGTAATTCGATAGGAACTTCATCAGGCCCGGGAGATTTACCATCTTTAGCTTGTTTCATTGCATATTCAATTTCTTCTCGTACAATGTCAGGCCCAGTATCATCCTTAAATTCTTTTGGTGCTTCTGTTCTCTCTTTGTCTTCAAATAGTTGTGCTATATATTGTGTCCATCTCTGCATTTTTTGGTTTATATCTGTTATAAGTGCACCCCTTTCATCTCTTAGTTGCCTAGTTTGAAGTGTTTTTCTCATTCCTGTTAATTCTCTAATTCTTTTATGCATGTTAAAAAAGTCATATTTTTTCTCAATTTCTTCTAGTTCTTGGCACTGCTCATGTAACATTCTCTCCTTAGCTTCTTTTATTTTCTTTTTTATTAATCGATCAGTTTCATTATATTTAATTGGATTTTTTGTTTTGAATGATTTTCTTTCATTCATTAATAGTAGTATTTCTTCAGTCATCCAATCTTTATGTTTTCTATTCTTTGGTTTTAAGTTTCATTTGCTGTTTTAATTATTGCTGCTTTTATATTTTCCCATTTCTGATCAATGTTATAGCTACTTTTATTCAGTTCTTGGGCATTACGTATATTTTCAGTAAGAGTTTTTACAGTTTGTTCCTTTGTTTGTGGTTCCCTTAATCTCTTAATATCAATTCTACTTTGTGTGGGTTTTTTAACCAGTTTTAATTTGGTTCGTAATGTGACTACTATGGGGTTATGGTCTGAACCGATGTCTGCTCCAGGGTAAGTTTTGGCAGACAGTATCGAATTACGAAATCTTTGTCTAATAAGGACAAAGTCAATTTGATTTCGGATTATTCTATTCGTTGCATCACCGGAGATTTCCATGTATACAACCTTCTTTTTGGTAGCTTAAAAAGTGTATTAGCTATTACAAATTCTTCCGTCTGGCAAAATTGTATCAAACGGTCACCACGTTCATTTCTATTTCCTAGACCATATTCCCCCACATATCCATCCACTCTTCCCTGGCCAACTTTGGCATTGAAGTCGCCCATTACTATTGTAGTGTGATGTTTTTTCATTGATTTTAAGACTTGTTCCAAATCATGGTAAAACAGTTCGATATCGTCGTCATCTTTATCTGCCGTAGGAGCATAAACTTGAATAAAATTTACTATACCTTTTTTAGACTGTAGTTGTATTGATAAGATCCTATCAGAATAAGGAGTAAAACTTATCACAGAGTAATTGACCTTTTTTGCAACTAAGATAGCAACACCGTAACGATGATTGCCGTCGTTGTTACCTGAATAATACATGGTTCCATTATTTGTAATTTGTTTGCCTGAACCTGGCCACTGTACGTCACTTATACCTAAAACATCAATTTGAAGGTTTTCCATTTCAAGCAGTACGTTCGCTAATTTACCACTTGCATATAAACTTCTGACATTCCAGGTTGCTATTTTCA